TAGTGTTGTCACAGTATAAGACCAATCATGCCCTGGATGTTATGATCACCGGTAAGGAAATGGTCATTAAATTTGACGATTGTCTTAGGAAATAAATACCTATTTTGGTGATATCATGTATTTTGTCAATAATTTGTATTATATTTGAAATGTTTGCGTATAGATACAAGGTGATCTAATTAATAAGTGATTTTATTTTCGAATGCTATTATAATTTTTAAGCAATCTTGTATATAAAATTTTATATTAAGTCCTTGATGATTATTTTTGTTTTATATTAAATTAACATATTTTCGGAATATTATTTAAAAATAATTAAATATGGAATGTGACAGGTGACTATTATAAATAAAATAAACATGTTATTGAATGAGTTAGTTTTTAATAAAACTTTATTATATTATTATTCAACAGTAAAGTTAGAAAAACATATGTTCCCTTTTGATTGTACCCGGATTTGTGATTAAAATATTATTTATTTATATTAAAATTATAACAATCTAATATATTTGTGAATAAATTATCCAAGTTTATTTAAATTAACAAAATGAATACGATCAAATTTTTATTAAATGTATTGCCTGTATTCATTTTGATTAATAACAGTGTCACTCCATTTATTTTGTAAGTATAACGGGTAAAATTATAAAAATTATAACAATTTATTAACCACATTTTTAGCCTACATTTTAGTATAATATGCCATTTTTTATAGTATTATAATTTATATTATTATAATATTACTTAACAAAATTGTATAAAATTGTAGATGGATAATTGCCGTATACAATGGGCACGTATATCCTTTGTGGCCTATTCTTAGTGACCTGGGAATATTATACCCCGAATCTATAATATTTACATTATATTTAACTGTGAGCGCAGTTATGTGCTTAATAATAGGGATAATTAGGTGGCAATTAATTAAAACATACAATCAAATACATAATAATAAACAACTAAACTCATTAAATCATATTTCATTGTGGACTTCTGCTACAATTGCACTTGGTGCATTAATTGTTGCTAATATACCTTATAAAGACCCTCATTATTTATTACACAATACTGGTACCTTTATGGTAGTAACAGGGTTCATAATGGACATGCACCTACAAAGTCGAGTCTCTTATATAATAAACTTTGAAAGCACCGGTCGTTTACAAATATTTTTGCATTACACGTGCTTGATAAGTTTTACCTTGACATTATTATTTGGAGCATGGTCATATTACTACTACAATGATTTGTTTACGACTACTGAACTGAGAATGATGTGGAATTGGAGTGACCCTGGTTATGTACCACATGTGATATCCGATATAATGGAGTGGATTTCTATACTATCATTTGGTCCATATGTCTATTCGTTTAGATATTTAAACAAGGTGAAAATAAAATAATATAATTTCAAAATAATAATTTTATTAATTCATTAATGTGGAAATAATTTATAATTTATTTATTATATTCTAAAAAAGATATATTTATAATGAAGTATTTTACTTAAATAAATACAAATTCGAGTTTTTTTTAAAGTGAACATGGCTTTAATTATATAAATAAAAATGTTAATATTTATAACAAATTTACATATAATATATTTTATAATTTAATTAGTAAGTGGCTTAAACGATATAATATAGATCATTACCATATGGACTAAACCAACAAGGGGTTATTCCTGTCCAAGGGTTTGGAAAGTCGTCCAGGTTGATATTTTTATTTAAAAAAGTCTAATATAAGAAAGTAATTATTTACTGCAATATTTAGCATTTGATAGATTTCATAACTATTTATGGGAAACATATCATAACAATAGTAACCAATTTGTGGTCCAATGGTTAAGCTCTCAATAAATGTTAAAAGTTTTAATTTATAATTTAGTGACAAGTTTGGTGTACTAATCAAAAAGGTTACTAATAATGAATGCGATTTATGAGCAATTTTGGGAATAGCAAATAACATATGAACAGCAATGTAAATTAAAAACATTATTACTAAACACAATACGATGAATACAATACGTGTAACGGGTGTTGTGTCCGGTTTATGTATCGTATAAATATATAACTCGATGCAAAATGTAACAAAATAATAGACAATAAATATAATACCCCGATAACAGTGGTTCATATCCCGGGTCTGTATTTCATAGTAATTGTGTTCAACGATTGCATTCATTAGTACGCGTTTGTCATTGAATCTCACGGCCCATAATATACTGGCATTGATTTCAATGAATTTGTAATAAATATATTTTGTTAATAATAGCCATATAAATAAATAATAAAAGGAACCAGAAGCAATGTTGAATAATACAATTGCTGTACTAATTTCATGTATGATCATGCTAATAAGTGTAACCAAATTTGGTGACTCTAAATATCTTATGTATGTAATAATAAGAATCAGAATAATACCCATTATTAAAATTGCATAGTATGATGTCATTATGATAAGCCTGGTTACGATGGTAAGTGTTGTCAACTTAATCATGTTACACTTATTTAAATTATGTTTGTGTTTATTATATTTTAATTTGTGTAATGAACTTAGACAATAGAGTGTTTGATTATATCCTTGATACATGATTATGGCAAATACACTTAAACAACATATTATTGTAATAGACGTCAGACCACCTAGTAGAATTCTATTACCACCGTATTCTGTAATGTCAAGCATTATATCCAACACCATCTGCTCATTTAAAAATGCTATTATTGCTAAACGAATTATCGATATAATCATGCACATTTTATAAATAATTGTTGAAATTGAAAAGATTTGTGAAATACATTTACGTTTAACGTAATCATCGCTAGTTATACACACTGTCGACATATTATGTCCGATAAATGACTCAAATTTATTTAGTTCAACACCCAGATCATTGCTATTCATAAGAATATTTATATAATTATTTGCTATTTTAAATATATTACCAGGTATATTTATAATATGTTGAAACACGAGTAACACATTTTGATATACAATCACTAATTTTAGGCACATTATTAAAATTATAAGATAAAACAATTTTAATTAAATGTTTTAATAACAATTAGCTAGCATAATAATTATTATACAATACTATGATTTATGAAACTATTTATTGTCTATCACTTGTTTAGAAAAATATCTATTATTATGATAATATTTGAAATTTTATAGTGATATTCATGAGGTAATGCATAATATTTTCATTATTGACATAATACGGTACTATCATTAAACCTAAAAATACTTATTGATCCACTTAATATTTATTATGAAATCAAAATCGATAACAATCATTATTTTAATGGTTAATAATTCGTCAATTTATTATAACTTACATGTTAGTGTAGATATCATAATTTTAAAATTTATTTTTAATTATTAATTAGGGAAAAGGCATCAAAGGCGTTTGCAAAGTTATTTATTTGATATAGCATTGACAAGCTTTATTGTGTTTAAAATATTTTTGGGTATATGTTTGCACTATTACCCAGATATTAGCTTTAATAATGAAACAAGGAGAATGTGGAATTGTAATCATCCAGGTTATATACCTTTAATATGCACTGTTATGGGGTGGACACTAGTCCACAAAGTGAACTATTTTGTTATCCTGTCCTGTCCTACATAATCCTGCATAAGTACCCTTTGAGCAAGTTTAGAAAATCATTGACCCCTACGGGGGGCCCCTCCATCACGTTAGATTTCATTCAGAGGTCATTGATAAGGTTCACACACAGGTTATATAATTAATTTCTATGGTGTATTGAATATCCTGCCCTATCCTGTCCTGTCCTTTCCTGTCATATGTACTGTCATATGGACCCTAATGTGCATTCATTTTAGGTATTTATTTAAATTGATATAGCTTGATAATGTCATTTTATATGTAAAACTAACTAAAATATTGTTGGTACTTTGTTTTATAATAATAAAGTATAAAATAATTAATTCCATATTGTATTAACATAATGATTTATTTTAAAAATAATTTCATATTTATTATTATATTTATTCCGAGTAATCAGCTTGTTGCTACCAGTTGATTTCCATGTAAATTATATTGTGTATGTAGCAATATAATTAATTTATTCAATTCTATATGAAGTATTTATTTGTAACTTATGAAAATTTAAATTTAAATTAAAATAAATATTAAATTAATACTGAAGTCAACGAATATTATTACATATCATTAACTAATGTATTCTAGATATAATAATTGTTTTTTAATGTGCTCTGAAAGTACTATTTTAAAATGTCTAATGGTTATATTATAAATATTTTTACCACACTTTTTGTGATAAATAATTGTATGTTTCCATTAATTTTGTAAGTTCAATATAATACTAACAAACAATAATTATAAGTATAGTATATTGAATTAGCTACTTTTATGGGAACTATTTAAAATTTATATTTAACTGGTTAAATATTTTACTTATTATAAACTTTATTTTTTATTAACACCGCTATTAATTACTTATTAAAATATAATATATTTTTCAAACAGGTGGCTCAGTGCTGTAATTAATGGCCAGGTACATCCCTGGTGGCCAATGCTCAGCGACACCGCCACAGTAGCACCGGGATCATACCTATTTGCATTATATTTAACTATAGGTGCAATCCTATTTATGCCAATAGCGCTGATTAGATGGCAAATAATACGAAAATTGAATCAAGCAACAATTGCAAGCTCGACCCTTAATGCACTCAATACATTATCAGTAATTACTGCTACATTTAAAGTCCTTGGTATATTAATATTAGCATACGCTCCGTATAATGACAACCAATATGTAGTACATGTGCTATCTGCTAATACATTACTCATAGCATTCACCATGGACATGTATCTACAAAGTCGTATCGCATATATGATACACCATGAGAGCACCGGGCGTTTACAAAATCGCGTATTTTATATAGCATTGATAACATTTATTTGGTTTATGTTATGTAATATTTTAACCTTTAACTTCTACCAAGATATAATGTATAATTATGAATTGAGACGTATGTTAAAATACGGTCAACCGGGATATATAACCCATACTATAGGCGCCATAATGGAGTGGACACACGTGTTAACCTACGGCCCATACGCGTATTCATTTAGATATTTGTGTAAAGTGAAATTAAATGAAAAGTTAAATGATTAAAAATATTTTTATTAGTTTAGATTTGCACACATACAATAATAATCTAATGATAATTTGAATAACTCATGTTTTATGTTCAATATGATAACATGTTATCTACCATGTATCAAATAGAAAATTTTTATTATCATGTAACATGATTCATGTTTTTACTAATAGTTGTATTTAGATACTCTGTGTACTAAAATACATTTAAAACTTATTAATAATAACTTTTATATCAAAATAATTGACTAAATATTCAAACATTTCCCTTATCTCATTGAGGTATCAAATAAAAATCTATATGTCATATGTATATTAACTATTAAAATTAATAAATAATATTAATTAAATACAACATTAAACATTAATCTGACCAATGAATTCATATAAAATGAGTTATATATTAAATCCTTTGACTACCATCTATTTAATAATCAATACCTGTTCCCCAATTATATTGTAAGTTTTGAATTAATTTTTATAAATTATATTCATATTTCGTAAATATAATAAATAATATTTTTATTTTGTAGATTGACAATCGGTTTTGGTAATGGACAGGTATATCCCTGGTTGCCCTACGTCAGCGACACCGGTACATTAGCTCCAGGGGCTACGCTATTCACTCTATACTTCACCATTAATTCAATGATATTTTTGGCGATACTATTGATTAGATGGCAATCTATTAAGTCATTCAACCAAACAAACAGTGTATTACTCACTAAACTCAATGGTCGGGCAGTAGGTAGCGGTTTATGTGCAGTATTGGGTGGACTCCTGGTTGCCTACATCCCGGCCACAGACTTGTGTTTAATATTGCATGGTGCTGGAGCATTTATATGGTTTGTGTCGTTTATCACTGATATGTATCTCCAAAGTCGGATCTCGTGTTTACTAAATAATGAAAGCACCGGTATATTTCAAACGTATATGTTTGCTATAGCATTTATGTCGTATATAATTGCTGCATTATTTGTAGCAATACTACTGTTCATATACCCAGACATTATGTATAAAAGTGAATTAAGACGTTTGTGGCATCCTGGTCAGCCGGGATTTATACCCCACCTAATATCCAGTGTATTTGAATGGGTGGCTATAATGACCACGGGACCTTACGTGTATTCATTGAGCTATTTATGTAAATTCAAAATAGATTAGATATTTTATATACATGAAAATTATATATTTTTAGCCGTGTTGTATATGATAATTAATTATGGATTTCCATTTGCGTTGTGAGTACATTATAAAAATTGTAATTTACCAACCAAATTGTAAATTCATTTAAGTACTATATGTATCTTATTCTTTAAGTATTTATTTATTTGCATTATTTATATTTCATTTACATTACTGTATATATTGAAGTGTATATTATTGCATAATTATATTTGTTGGATATTTATTAAAATAGATGGCTGACTGCAGTATATTATAACCAGGTGTATCCCTGGCTTCCAATGATCAGTGATATGGGCATATTAGCACCAGGGCAACTATTATTTACAATATACCTAAATTTGAATTCTGTTTTAAAAATAGATGGCTGACTGCAGTATATTATAATCAGGTGTATCCCTGGCTTCCAATGATCAGTGATATGGGCATATTAGCACCAGGGCAACTATTATTTACAATATACCTAAATTTGAATTCTGTTTTATTGTTGCCGATTGTATTGATTAGATGGCAATCAATACAGACATACAACGAGACAAATACCTATAAAATTACAAACTTTACGATTGATATACTCAATAAACTCTCGCTAATAACTGGTATATTAACATATTGTTGCCGATTGTATTGATTAGATGGCAATCAATACAGACATACAACGAGACAAATACCTATAAAATTACAAACATTACGATTGATATACTCAATAAACTCTCGCTAATAACTGGTATATTAACAGTACTAGGTACTTTTGTTTGTGGCAATACATCGTTTAGTGGCACACAATTTATACTACACTGCCTTGGTGCTTGTATCTGTTTTATAGGATTCACAATAGATATGTTTCTACAAAGTCGTATCGCATATATGCTAAACCACGAGAGCACCGGACGTTTTCAGATTTATTCATTTTATATAGACTTAACAATTCTTATTATATTAGGAAATAGCGTGATTTGTTGTCTATACCTTAACCCTGGTTATTATTTTAATAATAAAGCAAGGCGAATGTGGAGTTACGGTGAACCGGGATATATTCCCCATACGGTAGCGGCTATAATGGAGTGGGTGCATATATTAATAAGTGGGCCATATGTTTGCTCATTTAGATATTTAAATAAAGTTCAAGCTAACTAAATATTTTATGATAGAATTTAATTAGTATCATATTTGTCATAATATTTTACTAAAATATATTAAAGTATCTCTATTTGTTAAAAGCAAAATAAAAATTTATATTAACTGTAGTTTTATAATTTTGTTTATTAATATTTTTTTTTATAAATTATGAACATTTAATGTATATATAATTTGTAAATTTATTATTTCACAATTAATTTTTTCTGACACATTTAATATTAGAATAATTCAAATAATTTTTCTTATTATATTATTATGTATATTATTAAAATACATATAATAATCAGATAAGTTATATTTCTATGAACAAAGCACTTAATATAAGTCTAAAGTCTACATGAAATATATTTTACAATATACGAGTACAATGCCACATAACATTCTGTTAGTAGTGATATTATTAACAGTATAATACAGTATTATTATTATTATTAACAGTATAATTATATTAATTGTATACTGTAAATCAATTCTACTATTTTCCACATCATTAATATTTAGAGAATTTGTTTGATTTAATATTTTTTATAAAATGAATTTAAATAATATTACACTGCTTATAAATTAATATCAAAATGTTTTTCAATATAGAGGTTTTAACCAAATTGTTTATGTCAAATAATAATGGATTTCCATTTGTATTGTGAGTACATTACACAATTTTTAATTTACTAAAAAGTACTAAAAGTATTTATTTATTTGCATTGTTAATATTTCATTTACATTATATTTCAATGTTAATTTTATGGCTTAATTATATCGGGTGTCTCAACGCAAACCAACTATTTTAATTAAAATTAAAAATATTAACAATTAGGTTATACTAACAAAATCTATACAACAATGTTGGAAATTCATTAGAATTTTATACTGCATTTATACAATATCCATAAATTACCTAACCTGGTCATAATTTTAGTTTTACTGCATGTATGTTATTTTGAGGTAATACCATAGAAATACAACTGTCACTGAATGCTCACATCCATTGAATCAATGCTTTAATTCATAGCGCAATAAAAATTCGCTATTTCTATGTATAAAAACAGACATGCATGCAGTAAAATTAAAAGTATGACCATGGTAGGCAATTTATGTGTATTTTATAAATGTAGAATAAAATTCTAATAAATTTCCAACATTTTGAATAAATTTTGTTAGTTTAATGTAATTGTTAATATTTTTAATTTTAATGAAAATAGTTGGTTTGCGTTGAGACACCCGATATTTATCTCATATTTATTAAATAGATGGCTGATTGCCGTATATAAAGACCAGGTGTATCCTTGGTTTCCAATGATTAGTGATACCGGCATATTAGCACCAGGGGCACTATTATTTACATTCTACCTAAATTTGGATGCAATTTTATTTTTGCCGATTGTATTGATTAGATGGCAATCAATACAAACATTCAATGAGACAAATGGCGATAAAATAACAAACTTAATGATAAATAGACTCAATAAACTCTCGTTAATAACTGGCATACTACCTGTACTAGGTGCTTTTGTTTGCGGCAATTCACCGTACAATGACACCCAATATGTACTACACATCCTTGGTGCTTTTTTAATCTTTACGGGATTCACACTAGATATGTATCTAGAAAGTCGTATCGCATATATGGTAAATCATGAGAACACCGGGCGTTATCAGACTTATTCATTTTATATAGCCTTAACAACTTTAATTATACTGGGAATTAACATGATTGTTTGCAGACACATTAATCCTTATAACTGTTTTAATAATGAAGCAAGGCGAATGTGGAGTTACAGTGAGCCGGGATATCTACCTCATTTGATAGTGGCTATCATGGAGTGGGCACATGTATTAACATTTGGTCCATATGTTTATTCATTTAGATATTTAAATAAAATTAAAGATATTTAAATAATTTATAAGAATTTATTTATTATTATATTAAAGTAGTTACTGCTTATAACATTATTTTAGTAATATTAATAATTGTTACTAAAAAATTTTGTATTTTACCAGTCACAATCTAAAAGGTTGCAAAATAAAAGATAATATGTTTTAATAATTAAATGATAATTTATTTGGAAATTTTTGCAAATAATATAATAGGTTTAATTTAAATTTTAGATTTAATTAATTTAATTATTCTTAATAATAAGCTTATAATAAACAAATATTATTGCTAACACTTTTATATCTGTTCATTTATTTATACTACCTTACTAGTATAATATTTATTTACTCGTTAGTATAATATTAAAATAGATTATATATATTTTTTACTTAAACTTAAATTATTAAGTTAAATATTTGATAAATTTAAAAATAATTTTACTATTAATACTAAGTTTTTACTAGACATATGGAAATCTACTATTAACAAAAATGTTTACAAAAATAAAAATTGATATTAGTATAATAAACATATTCCCGGTATTGTTTATGATAAGCAATACTTGCTTTCTATTCATTTTGTAAGTGACCAGCATTTAATTCAATCATGATCATTGTATACATATATCAAATTAACAATTATTTGTATTTGAAATGTAAATTAAAAACAATTTGTCTAATAATAAATTAATTTTATTAAACAGATGGCTTAGTGCTGTCATCAATGGACAGGTAGACCTATGGTTTCCAATGATAAATGACACTGGCATATTAGCACCGGGATCATTAATTTTTACAATATATCTAACTTTCAATTCAATTATATTATTGGCGATTGTATTGATTAGATGGCAATCAATACAGACA